CATATATATATATATTATTGCGTTGATGTATGTATATAATAATCATACTATCTGAATATGGCAGATCACAATACTACATCTCACAATGATACATATCATATGCAATACACAATATATCTCGTCATAACAAGTCACACACACAGACACACAGACACACACACAGACACACAGACACACCTGCATGAGGCGCAGTCTGTTGCTATCTAGCCTTGCTGCGATGGCGGCCTTTTGGTTCTTATCTGTAGCCGTCTGTGGTAGAGGATGCGAGACTATGAGCTTCTAAACGCTAAAACGCTGAAATGCTAAAACCTTAAATATCATGTTAAACTCTAAAACCTTTAAACCCTACTATATATATATATATATAAATATATATCTATACGCATGTAACTGCCCACATTGATATTGCATGCATATCCCTACCGGTTGGATCATGTTGGATGTGCGCACTAGTTCCTCCTCCAGTTTGCCTGAGGTCAGATCAACACCGCACAAAGGCATTTGCAGCGGTGTCTCAGTGACTATCGGCTTGTGCGTGGCCGAGGGAGACCGGTTACCTACAGTGATATATTGAACAGATGTTAGGGCTACGGTACTAGTGGGTATGTATATATACATGTACAAACGTACATAGTATATGCAGGTTAACTGTACTTACGTATACTTGCATACATATAATGAGGTATTTGTATATGCAGGTATGCGTTTTGTCTATTCGTGCATATATATCGCTGAAAACAAACAAGTAGCTACATGCAGGTATGTGGGAATATATATCTGTACGTATGTATCTGCGCCAACATCCAAGCACGAGTGCATGTAGATATGTGTGGATGTCCATTCGTACGTCTACATGCCTGCAAATATACACGCACAGGTGTATACAGGGTTGTGGATGTAGCCGTGTTCCTAAACAGTTTAATCACAAGTTACAAGACACAAAACAGAACCCCTCACCGTTTCGGCATACGACAAAGATGATCTCCTGTGAGGTGGCGCCTATAATCCACGCCCACATCTGATTGTCACTGTTGAAACGCTCTCTTGTATCGAGCACAGGCATCCACGGGGCAAACGGCTTGTCTGTGAGAGCCTGCAGCGTACGACAATGTGAAGAAAATACGACACACGACATGGAACGTATGGTATACATGGTAAGTAATCAGTATACAGAATTGTGATTGTTAAAACACTCGCTTGTGGTGGATACCGGAATCGACGGGATATGGACATGGATATATATAGTAG